CGGCGGCACAGGCGCGGGCAGCGCCGGCCGGGGCGCCCCCCCCAGTCCGGCCCCGGGCCTCCTGCGAGGCTCCCGGCTCAGCCTCACGCGCCCCCACCCAGGGTCCCCCAGCGCCCGCGGAGAGCAAGGCGGCCTCCTTCCCCCGCTACTGGGGCGCTGGCTCCCGCCCCGTTCCCCCCGCCCCCACGGCATCCCGGAACAAATAAATAAATAAGGCGCGCGAGAGAGGCCAACACGTCGCGGAGGGAGATGTTGTTATTTTTTGCTGTTGTGCGTCCCTGACGTCACATCCACCTGCTGGGTAAACAACAAGGCAAGCAGCAAAAAAAAAAAAAAAAAAAAAAATCGCAATTGCCAAAGTGGGCGTGGGGGGGCGTCGGGGGGGCGTCCAGGGAAGGGGGAGTGAGGGGCGTCCAGGCTGGATAGAAAAGAGGAGAGGGAGGCAGAGCCCCGCAGACCAGAGAGGAAAGGAACGCCAGAGCAGTCCCTGGCCAGAGAGGGCTCTGAGGAAAGACCTGGAAAACAAGGGGCGCGGGGGCGGGAGGGGGGCTCCTGAGCACCCGGGGAAAGGGGGGCCCATTCAGACCCCGGAAAAAGCGAGAGGGAGAGTGTTAACTAGGGACGAAGACGGGAATGCGATGGCTATTTGCTCGGTTTCTGAGCTAAAAATATAGAAGGAAGGGGAGCAAGGATGTGAGTTTCCTCCAGTTAAAAGTGAAAGTGTTTGCCATCAGTGACAGTTGGTGGAGAGGGAGGTGGGGGTGGCGTTTTCAAGCCCCTTTCTCCTATTCTCCCGTCTTCCCTCGGTCGCTCCTCTTTCTTTCTGCACTTTGTCCAATGAAAGAAGGCGAGTTCGGGAGGTGAAAGTTCAGCAGAAGGACAAACCCCTGTTTGCAAGAAACAGAAACCCCGCCAGCGAGGGGTTCTTTCCCCTGTACCGCGTAATCAGGAGAGGGTGTGATGTGGGACGAGCCTGCCTTCCCCCCTTCCTTGTCAGAGTCACTGCAGGAATGTGTAGTTAGGTCCACTTTGGGGGAAAGTGGCTACACCAGGAACCGTGTTCTCGCCACGGTTCCTCTTAGGAAAACGCCCCGGGGGCTAGCATGTCAGTCAGTTGTTTAACACTAATTACCTGCTTTCCCAGAGATCAGTCATGTGCAAAAAGCTTTGTCCAATTCTTTGGAAAAGTGAGATTTTTTTTTTTTTCCATTTTGCTGTTTTGAAGTTTGTTTGAATTTAGAAATTTGAAGGAGTAGATTAGGAGCCCGAATGAAATGTTTTGAAATCTAGATATTCATATATAAAACAAAAGACACTAGTGTTTCTTTCACTTTTATCAGTACAAATAGAGAAGGAAGCAAACTTTGTGTTTCAAAAACGTGAGTTAGAATGATATAGGACCTCTATAGTTTTTTGTTGTTGTTAACAGAAATAATTTTTTCAGACCCATCACTCCAGATGCTGCCGAACTCCCAAGCCAGCATTTCCAGCTACTGGCTGGATGGTGTACCAGGCCAATTCTTTATGAGACTATATATTAAAAGCCAGCTCTGTGGATTCCTACAAACTTTCCCTGGGGGGAGGGACGGGGTCGTACTTTCCCTTTGGTCTTGAGACCAGCACAGTTGTAGATAATATCCTGAAAAGGTTATTCTTTTGTATAATTGTTGTTGTGGTTGTTATATAGATACAGTTAAACATTCATATACAGAAGAATTTAAATCTCAATTTCAGTGATGGGATAAGACTACCACTTTAAAATTGTATCTGTTTAGCAAGTTAAAAAAAAGTAACAAAGCCATTCACCGGTGCTACAGAATAAAGCCAGGGAAGGGAGACTGTGCTAAGGTATTTCCAGCCTAGTAGAATTTATGTTGAATGCATGCTGAACGAGGTTCCATGCTATCCAGACAAGACCATCCATTGGATCTTTTAGACTAGAATCTAGATAAATAAAATGCATTTTAGTTAGTGTA